AAATGCAAAAATAACGAATTAATAACGAAATAACGAACTAAATTGCACAGGCCTACAAAATTGAAGTGCCTCTTTGCACACAGGATGAACTGCTGCTAGTATCCCACCTTACAGCTTTATCTTGACATAGATTCAAAGGAAAACGGTGCCTGCAGGTTGCCTCTCCGCATTGTTTTCACCACTCCAGCCTATTATTTGACTGCTGACCAAGCTTGAACTAGCTTAGCTTAGATGACCCTGTTTGTATTTTAAGAGCAGACAGGATCACAGCACAGGCTGATGTCACTGTACAGCTCAGCACATGCGAGATGAGAAGGTTAAACGGTTACAGAAAACTTGTTTTCTCGGCAAGGCTGGTACAAGCCGGTCCCACATAAGGGCAGCAATGTTTCTGTGGGTCTTCTGTGTCTTATTTTTATATATCTCTTTGAGAGATTGTCTCCAATCCTTGTCTTCTGGGAACAAGACAATATCACTTTAGAAGCCACTGAAGATGATCACTTTGTTCTCTCCCTTCCCATATCACAGCATCACAGAATTCAATGAGACCCCCAAGGGCCTTCCAGTCCAACCCCATTCTGCCATGCAAGAACATACAATTAAAGCACTTCTGGCAGATGACCATTAGCCTCTGTTTAAAAAGTTCCAAGAAGAAGACTTTCATCACGCTACAAGGCAGTGCATTTGACTGTCAAACAGTTCTTACCATCAAGAAATTCTTCCTGATGTTTAAATTGATTTTCTTTTTCTGTAATTTGAATCCATTGATCTGTGTCTTACTCTCTGGAGCTGCAGAAAACAAGCTGACTGCATCTTCAATATGATCCTTTCAAATATTTAAACATTGTTGTCATGTCTCCTCTTAACCTTCTTTTCCCCAAACTAAACACTTCCCAAAGGGCATTGCTTCCAGATCTTGTTAGCATTAGGTCATTGTAATAATATGCTCTGAGAATCAACTAATGTTTAGTTTCAGAATTCTTTAAGTATAATTGGCAGTTATAGGGTTGATATTCCTTATGTGTATTTTTTAAAGCAATGATTCCCAACCTTTTTTTGACCAGGGACCACTTGACCAGGGACCATTTTGACCAGGGACCACTCTCCAACATTAGTACCAAAAGGGTTACGAATCAGTTTTTCTTCAGCTTTTATTCAGTTTGGTTATTTGGGGTGCTGATACAGAAAATTGCATTGGATAGAGCACATCAGCTCTAGTTCCTGATACAGAGCATGTACCATCCAATAGTCCCCATCTGTGGTAGTAGTAATTTTTTGTGGGTAGTCAGCCTCTCCCCTCCTGACATCCCCATTGCCTTGGCACTATAAAGGGGTTTCATGAGACCAGTCACTCTTGTTGCCATGTGGTTTCAAGGCAACGGTATAATAGTGAGGCCGTGGACCATATTTTCATTCTTGCGGACCACTGGTGGTATACGGACCACAAGTTTGGAACCACTGTTAAAGCATTGAACATACTTATGTATATTTTTTAGAAATTATCCAATCAGTTCTAATGACCATATTTCTTCAATTGTAAGATGTCATCGATTGTAAAACGCACCCTAATTTCAGTACCACCGCATTTGATTCTAAGACGCACTGCATTTTTAGAGATGTGGTGTGTCTCTAAAGGAGGGAAAGTGAGACAAACAATTGAAGAAACACAGTAATAACTCAAGTGAAATCTAAATCCATTTTTATATAACAAACATTTTCCGGAAAGAAAATTTTTGGTGGCCATTTTAGGAAAAATGTTTCTCTCTGTTAAGGACAGTAATCTCCTTTCTGGTAGTATATTTTTATAAACACTTCTATTTCCTTTTTAAATTGATTTTTAATTTAAAATGTGTGCCCAATTTATTAGGGAACTTTCTAATTGATTAATATGATAGCACTGTGTAACAAAATCTGAAAACAAAATCTGTTCCTAGTTTGAAAGTGTTATTTCCTGTTTAATTGTGTGGTACTTACTTTGAACATCATTGTTATACTCCAGAAACTATGTTGAATTGGTTAAGATTCTATGAGATATTCACTGAAAAACTTTAGCAAAATGTGCTGCAAGATGTCCTGCAAAACCAAAGGTTTTGCTGTTTAGTAAACTTTTTCCATGTTTTAATGATAGAACCAATTAGGAAATGATGTTTGTAACCCAGGAACAAAAATTGTGTTACATAGTGTAGCTAAATATGCTAATGTTAGTTATTAGGGTTGTGTATTTCAGGTGATTCGCTATGCGTTTCTGCTTGCTGGGTACTGGAAGCCCCCCATACCCATTTTCCAGTACCTCCCAAAAATGGGCGGCTGCCAAATGAGCATTTTTGTTCAGCATCCAAAAAAAAGGCTCTTGTCGGTTCCATGGGGAATTTATAAGGCTTCCTTTTCCCCTAGGAGACTTTCCTTTCTTCCCTTCAAGGGAGCCTGGGTGTCAGCAATGGGGTTAAGAAAGCACCCTATCCAACCCATATGAGGGAGGGGAAGGGAGGACCTTTCCATATCCTTCATTAAGACCTAGATTTTAAAAAGCATCAGTTACCACTCTTAAGTTTCTGGAACATTTCCCTTCTGTTTCTAGAGGAAGAGACTGAGTTTCTTGCTTCTTACAGCTGCTCTACTCTAGAGGAGAGACAAGCATGTGGAATTTCCTTCTCTCCCAGAACTAGGAGGCATTTTAAGGAGACCCAGGGAAGGAAGAGCAGTGATTGGGAGTCAGTCAAGCTATCCTCCCTGGACTACCTTCAAAATCCCCTCACTTGTCTGCAAGGCTGCAATCTCATTTTTGTTTGAGGTTTTGCATGCTTAAAGTTGTTTATACTTTCTTCTCTAGAGGAGAGGTAGGCTTCTCTTATTGTTTGCTGGGATTACTACTATTAATAATAATCTTTTAGAAGTATTTCCTGAAGGAGAGGAAAAAAAGATGAAAAAGAAGCTAAAAGGGTGAAAGCCCCCAAACACATGCACCCCACCCACCATCCCTCAACAGGTCCCCAACTCCCAGTCAGTCCCACTAAATAAAAAGAATCAGAAAAATAGAAAAGATTTAACTGTGATGCTGAATAGGGGAAGAGGAGCCAAGATCAGCTCCTGCTTGCTTTTGTGTCAGGTGGATTTTCATACCGGGAGGGCCCTAACCGTTATGAGCTCCCAAAGTACCGAAGGAAATGGAGGAAACAAAATCTGTGCACAACTCTATTAGTTATAAGTTATTTTGCTCTAAAATGTAAGACCGAAGTAATATGAATTGTTTGGATGCAGCATTGAGTATCAGCTGTTCTGAGCCCATGTACTCTGGAACTGAATCCAATTGGTGTTGCCAAGATATTTGTTTGGAGGGGAAATAATACTTGTCAGCATGTCCTGTTTCCATGACCACAGCCCTGCTGGCTTGTAATAATGGCAATGCTAGGTTCTCTCCAATGCACTTAATACAAAAAGTCCTATTACAATAGCCCTATATGTCTCCCAGAAGGAAATGTTCAGGAGGAAAATTGCTGATGGATAGTGTCAAGTAATCTCTTCAGGAGCATTTTAAAGAACAGTTTTGTCATTCTCCCTGCCATTACATAGTTATTGCATCTTCCAATTCATCAAAGGACAAATGGTCCAGGGACTTGTTTCAAAAGGACAGAAGACAATAATGTTCAGTAAAAATCAAGGACCAATTCTCAAATACATTCACGATTACATTGTGGTAAAAATAAATACAGAAGTATTTGTTTTGGTTATTTCTAACTGCTATCAAAGATTTAGAGAGACAGAATGGCAGATTGGTCTGACCAGTATGAGTTTGCAAAAAGCAGACAAATGCCAAATTATATAAGAAATTAGGGTCCATCTACACTGTCATAAAATTAAGTTTGAAACTGCATTATATTACTTACTTAGGCGATTCCTCATTGTCCAAGTATGATGGCCTTCCAAGTGTAGTATCTTGGCTGTGGATACGTAGCTGACTGTGGAGCCCTATTTTTGACCCGCATGTTCTTCGTGGATACGTAATTGACTGTGGAGCCCTATTTTTGACCCGCATGTTCTTCGTGGATATGTAATTGACTGTGGAGCCCTATTTTTGACCCGCATGTTCTTCATGGGCATTGGTTTCCAGGTGTAAGGTGCTCCTGGACAGGGTTGGCTTGATGCCCTTCCTCTTGGCATGTTTCTCCCTTTTGCCCTCCATTTCACAGCACTGCTGGTCACAGCAGACCTCCAGTTAGAGTGCTCAGGGGCCAGAGCTTCCCAGTTCTTGGTGTCTATGCCACAGTTTTATATAGTAAGTGTCGACTCATACAATGCAATTTAACTGCATTGGACTCCATTAGAGGAGTCTCCACTGACCATATAATGTAGTTTCAAACAACATTATATGATAGTGTAGATGGGGGTCTTAGATGCATCCCAGCCTTTGTTCATAGCACCCTTTGGAATTTAAGGTTTCCAAATAGTCCTGAATGGAGTTTCTTTCCAAAGGTATGTAAACATTGAGGATGCATCTACACTGTAGAATCAGTACAGTTTGATGCCACTTTAACTCCCAGGATTCAATACTGTAAAATTTTGGGATTTATAGTTTTGTGAGGTATCAGAGCTCTTTGGCAAAGAAGGCTAAAGAACTTGTAAAACTATACACCCATGTTTCCACGACATGTAGTCACTGTTCTGTGATTCCGACTAACGAGCTCAATTTTGAGACCTGTTTAGTGGCTTAACAGTCATATTGGCAATCAGAATTGTACCTCCTCTATTTCATGTATTAAAAGCACTTAAGACAACACTTCACTTTTCCTTAAGACAACACTTCACAGCACTTGCCATTTTAAGAGTGGATTGTGCAGTTTAGATGAGTTGGTGTCCAAAATCTAGAACATTTGAATAATTATTATAGCTACGCACTTGGCTGGAAATTAATTTAGGGAAAAGTATCTGAATGTGGTCTCCGATGGGAAAAAAACTTTTAAGAAGCCATATCACTCATCCTTTCCATTCTTTCTGTCTTTCAGACATCCAAGAAGTTTTTTCCTTTCACATTTTTTGGATCAATCTCTTGGATCGCAGTATTTTCATACCTAATGGTCTGGTGGGCACATCAGGTAAGCTGGAAGTGGATTTGCCCTCATATTTTGTCTGTGTTCAGTGATTTCATTCTGAGCTGTACATTGTCTTGCAGGCTAATTGTGGCTATACACATTTACAAGAATATATGATACTCAATTTTTCGTCTTGCACACTAAAATCCATGTATGAAGACATTAAGTCCCATGCTGAACTTCAGACTTTATACGTAGGCATTTCACATTTTATACAAAGGTCCCATTCGTTCTTTAAGTTTCTACTTGGCAGTATGGCAGGCATTGAAAGTTTTGGCCCAGGGATGGATAAGTAAGTACTGGGAGTTGGAACTGTTTTTGCTGCTGTTTGAAGTTGTGTTCCAAAGTCTCAACAGTACTATCAAAGCATAGGAAAAAAATAACAATAAAGCAGTACACAACATAAATCAGACAATAAAGCAGCCAGAAACCTCAGCACTGAAGCCAAACAAAAGATGAATAAAAATTGAGGCATAAAAGGCATCCCGACTTGTCCCAGTGGTGAGTTTTTCCAGAAATGGAGCATCGCTACCAACCAGGCCTCATTCATTTTCCTCGCCTCCAAAAAAGTGAAAATTCGGGAGAAAGACCTCTGAGAACCAACTTTGAATTCAGGCAGGTTCACTGGGGAGAAGACCTAAGAATAGGCCCTTTGAAATAATTCAGTCTTGCTCAGATGTCAGAAAGTTACTAAGGAAAGTTCTGTCACCAGTTTGGGCACTTGAATGAATCATACCAAGAAAAGAGATGCCCTACATGCATGGAATTCCCTGCCCCTATCACAAAATTGAGAAAGATTTGCAATGAAGTCTCTTGCTCTTTCTGATTTCATGAACTCTTTGGTGCTTAGGTTGGAGAAACCATTGGCATCAGTGAAGAAATCATGGGCTTGACCATCTTAGCTGCTGGCACATCTATCCCTGACCTCATCACCAGTGTTATTGTGGCACGGAAAGGACTGGGGGACATGGCAGTGTCCAGCTCTGTGGGAAGTAACATCTTTGACATCACAGTGGGGTAAGTACAACCATTAAAAACCACTCTGCTGCAACTAAAGAGCCAGCGTAGGAAGGGTGGTTTGAGTGCTGGACTGCCACTCTGGAGACTAAGGTTCAAATCCCCACTTGGACATAGAAACCCACAGCATGGCCTTGGGCAAATTGCACTCAATCAGTCTCAGAGGTAGGCACACTCCATCTTAGCAAATCATGCCAAGGAAACCTTAGGATCACTGTATGTTAAAGTGACTTGAAAACACACAACAATAATAAGAACAGAAATTAAGATACAATGTCATATTTTATTTATAATAAAAATTAAGTATATTTTACTCTGTAATAAATTGCAAATATTCATATCAGGACACCAGTGAGTGGTGTGCAATGCACATTGGTACGTAATGCACATTGATGTGCAATGCATATTAGACAATTTCTCAATTATGCTACATAGTCATGCGACAACAGCCCTGACCAGTGACAATTTCTGCATATGCAACTCGACTTATAAAGATGTAACTCCCATACAGGGTTTCAGCCATTAAATCTTAAGAAAAGGAGGCAGACCCAAGGCATTGATAAACAGCTGGCAGCCCTTTGAGTGGACTCTGACCCACAGGCAACTAATAGTAGTCTCACTACTCTTCTAACAGCTGGAAGAGCTAAATCGAGGAGGATTAAGTATACAAGCTACTACCACACCAGGCTTCAGGCGTTTTGCCCATAGGTGTTGTGAATTAGAGCTAGCCCTAGCCATGATTAGCCCACAGCAGTTTCCAGCATCTTCAGTAAACACTATAGAGACGTATCTGTTACTGCATAGTATCCAACAGTTTGGTATTGTGAAGCAGTACTTTAATAGATCAACTGTGCTAAGAGATAACCATGAGGAGGAAGTACAAAATTTCTCTGTATAGAAAATCAAGTGATTTTTCTGCTATATCATGTTGGCTATAGATAGCCTTTTTGTCACTGAAAGTACAAACTGCATAGGAAAAGGAACTTCTATTTTCCACCACTTGAACCTTGAATTTGGAATGGAGTGGCCTACAAAATTGCAGAAACTGGCCATCTTTTCAGTGTATTTCAACTGCCAGTTTCACTGTTGATATCTTCTTCAGGAGTTGGAAGTGTTATCTGCGTATCTTGCCTTGTCCCTACTCATTCATAGAAATCAGCACCATCGCTTTATATCGAAATTTTAATGGGTTTCATGTGATATGATTTCAAGTTGTCACCTAGAGTTTTAAACCTACAAGGCCAATTTCAATGGAAGTCCTACCTGGATTTTTTAGTCACCGTTAACTGTAGTCCTTTTTATTTCAGCGAGTTAGGGATAGAAAGAACATTCCAAAAGGGATGGAAAACGTGTTTCTCAACTGTTGGGAAACTCTGACATGAAAAATTCCGGAATGACAAGGATGTTTGCAGTTTTGAGATTTGTTCTGCGCAGAATGTATTCTGGACATTTTGCACAGAAAACAACATTTTCGCTCAGAAAAGAACAGCTTCTGTGCAGAGAACAGAAATATTATTTTTGTATAGAAAATCCTGCTTTCTGTGCAGATTTAATGCAGAATAAGACTTGAATTACCTATGGGCTTTGAAAACTGCAGTTTGTGAAGACTTTCACACAATGACAAGAAAACTACTGAAATTACTTGTTGCTTAATTCAATAATAAATTTAACCAAATAGGTCTACTTTAAGTAGAACTGGAGTAGTACAAGGAGTCCTCAGGTTATAAACATCTGACTTACATCCAACTCATAGTTAGGAATAGAGGTGAGACAAAAGGAAGTGACAGAAATTGGCCCCTAGGAAGGGAAGCTCACTCCTGGAAGAGTTATCATGAGGAAACGGTGTCTCAACTGAAGCTTTCACACAAATCCTTGTTTCCACAACAAGCCATTTTTTTTTCAAAATTGAACTATCACAGGACAGAAATAGAGGTGAAACTTCAGGGTACAGACAGCAAAACAAATACCATGGAGGTATTAACCCTTCTTTATTATATATATATATGGAGTTACCCTTGAAAAAATGTACTTGTTCTGACTTACATATAAATTCAACTTAAGAACAAACCTACATAAGCTATCTTGATCATAACTTGGGACTGCCTGTATTTAATTCACAGTCTGTCTTCTTCAATATTTCCTATGGTCTTTTTCTCCTGCAGGCTCCCTCTCCCGTGGCTCCTCTTTGCTATAATAAACAACTTTGCTCCTGTGGCGGTGAGCAGCAACGGGCTCTTCTGTGCGATTGTCCTCCTCTTCATCATGCTCCTCTTTGTCATCCTCTCTATTGCGATCTGTAAGTGGAACATGAACAAATTCCTGGGCTTCACCATGTTTGGTCTTTACTTTGTGTTCCTGGTTGTCAGCGTCATGTTAGAAGACAGGATCATTGTGTGCCCTGTATCCATCTAACAAGATGACGGTGCTGTTTCTTGAACATGGCAAACCGGAAACAGACAAGAACAGAGAACCTCCCATGCAACCCAAAACAAGCAGTATCTTTAGTACCCTGCATTTAAAACATTGGAGACAAGAGGGACTGGAATCAGATGTGGACAAGTTCAGCTGATCCATTTCCTGGTGCTGAACAAACATCAAAAAATGGCTGGCTGCTACAGAACATGCTCCTGGGCCGGTTCCACTGCTTATCTGTTGGAGGTATTGTGCATGTATTGTATTACCAATGTTCAGCTTTGCATGTATGCTACACATAGGATCTGTTTCCATATATTTCTTCTCTCTGCCTATATACATGCCACTCGGAGAGAAAGGGAGCAGTATTTATCAACATACAAATGAAATGTGATGTTACCTATTCATAGAGGCTGATGGAAGAAGTTATCCTATACTAATAGCACAAGCAACATAGCAGAGGATTGAGCAGGATGGCCCTTGTGGTCTTTTCCAACTCTGTGATTTGATGACCAGAGAAGGCCAATCTTCTGTCTGCAAGCAGTGTTATTTCTATGTTTTCTGCACATGATGTGGAAGGTTTCGAAACTAAGCCTGTAGCTTTGGAAACCAAGGTGTGTTGGTCCCTCAACAAGTAGGGGGATAACATTTATGGATCCAGATACATTTTTCAAACAATATACAACTCACATTATCTTGCATTCTGTCGTTTCGAAATGTAGAGGTGCATGCTCAGCATTACTACAGCCTCAAGTGACTCCTTGCATGTGTGGAGGCATTATTAGAGATCAGATGTCACAGAAATTGGCTTCATGTTACTTCCTTTACAATATTAATCATGGCGAGAGCCTGCATTTTCAGCTGCATATTAGAGATGATGAGTAAGCAACCAGTGTCCATGCATGCGTGATCCCACCACATAATCCAATACCACTTGACTTGTTCTGGCTTCCTTGCAGGGCTTCTGCCTTTTTATTCTCCCTATAAACTGACATTTTCCTACAAGGCTATCTGCGATCCTTATAGATAAAACCCACACTAATGATTTGAAGTATCTTCTGCCATCCCCTGATCATCCAAGTAGAAAATGCAGGTACAAAATAAACTCTTTTTACTAGTACAGCAGTAATGTAAGATGATTGAATCATGTTAATGCTACATCCATTAGTGTATTTGCCTTGTCATATGAGAGGCGAAAGTGACTTCCACATAGCTTTTAAAATAAGAATTGAAAATTGCTGCATGAAGGGGACATTCTGTATGGTGCTTCATTTTCTGATATGTGGTACTACAAAGCTTCAGAGTTCTCATATTGCTTAGTCATATTGCCTAGTCTACTAAATTTTCAAAAAGGCATAATACAGGAAGAAAAAAACATTCTGCAAAAGTCGGATAATGGGCTTTTCTAAAATGGACAGGAAATGCTGAATGGAGACCACATTGGCTCATAGACAGCTTGATCCTGCTCACATGCAAATCAAAGGAAGACAGACCACTCTGGTATCAAAGGGGAAAAAAAGAGATGTTAAATTTGCTAAGACACAGCATTAAATAGATCGCTTTCTCTTACAATAATCTTTTCTCTAATTTCTCTCATTCAATGTCATTTTCACAAGTGACTCATTCACCAGTGTTCTTTATGAATTAAGTTACCCATGCACAATGGAGATTGGATACGTAGGACTATATTAACAGGGAATTTGGTTTATTTTTCTATGACCCTGAGGCCATAGTTTTTGGTTTTGCTTTTCTACTACTTTTATTCTTTGCAGCAAAAACAAAACTGATCTGTTTAGAACAGTGGTTCCCAACCTATGGTCTGTGAGCCATCAGTGGTCCGCAAGAACGAAAATATGGTCTGCAACCTCATCATTACTACATCTTTGCTTTGAAACCATGCAGCAACGAGAGAAACTTGTCTCGTGAAACCCTCTTATAGTGCCGAGGCAACTGAGGTGTCGGGAGGGGAGAGGCTGACTATCCACAAAAAGATTGCTTCTACCACATCAGCTCTAGATTATTAAATATGGTTTTCTGTGGGCGAGCAGATGGCAACTACCGAATGGCATATGCTCTGTATCAGAAACTAGAGCTGATGTGATTTATCCAATACAATTTTCTGAATCAGCACCCCAAATAACCAAACTGAATTTAAAGTTGACCAAAAACTGATTTGTAACCCTTTTGGTACTGATGTTGGAGAGTTGTCCCTGGTCAAAGTGGTCCCTGGTCAAGTTGTCCCTGGTCAAAAAAAGGTTGGGAAGCACTGGTTTAGAAGGTATGGAGAATGAGGTAGCAAGGAAACACATCAAACTTCAATTGGTCCTCTATATCCATGAATTCAACAAGTTAAAAATATTTCAATTTTTTTCCAAAAAGCAAAGTTTGAGTTTGTCTTTTTGTATAAGGGACCCCATTTTATTATATCATTGTATATAATGGGATTTGAGCATTTACAGATTTGAATATCCTTGGGAGGGTCCTGGAACCAAATCCCAGTGAATACCAAGGGACTATTGTGTCATCTCTGCTGCCCTAGTAGTTTCTCTGCAAGTAGTTTCTTGTCCACCAGCATCTCAATGATCTAGTCTTTGCTTGTTGATGGCTTCTATGTCGCTGAATACTCTGGGTTTTAATGTAGCCCTTTAAAGGAGCTGTCCATGGTGCCAAATGCTGTCCTCTAAGGTTCAGTACCTTAGGTAGCTTCTTTAAAGTTCAGGCTAGAGTGGGCTCACCACCAACTCCGATTCTGGTTGTTCCCTATAACATCCATTGCTATGAAGAAGTGGCATGATGTTGAGGATACTTAGGACTTTACAAAATACTGAAATCAGGGGTAAGTCTACTGCACTCACACACCTTTCCTATATTGCTCAATGTTTTGGTCAGTGCTGCCTGATTCTGCACGTATTTGTTTAGAAATTTGCAACCCAGTTCTTGGTTTATACCTGAAGCCTCTATGCTCAGCATAACTTCCTACTTTCTAGATAGGAATAGGATTGCAGCCATAAGTACAATCCATAGTAAGTGTGTAAATACTTTCCATGTTCAAATATCTGGATATGAATGTGAACACCCACCGTTTGCATTTATGCTTATCAAACAGCCATACCACATGACAAAATTCATATTAGTTGTGTTAGTATCATGGAGAAATATAGAAGAGGTATGGAAAGGGGAAAAAGTTAAAATATTCTGATTTATTCAAGCTTCTTGGCAGAGGGTTGGACAGGATGGCCCATGAGGTCTCTTCCAACTCTATGATTCTATGATTCCATATGTCTATAGAGGTTTTCAAAATGGCTTCTCCTAATCTCTTTTGAAGGCATTACTCCTGTGGAAATTTGTAGTTCAAATTATGGAATGCATAATTCTAATGTGGTTGTTTTGTATGCAGTATGGTAATTTGGACTACAATCCTAAACATTGGATTGAGGAGATAACATCCCATTGAGCTTGGTGGACATTATTTCTGAGTAAACCTGCACAGAATTTTGCTTAAAAGTCTTACACCAGAAGGGGGTTGCAATTCCTAGCCAGAAAACATCCTCCAGGACTAGCAGAGTAGATATTTTAGATAGGATTTCCAATTTTAAAATCTTAGTATTCTTGCTCAGTAGCTTCTAAAAAGAATAATGTACTGACATTGAGGAAGGATGCACATTTCCTGTTCACCAAGGCAATGTGTTCAGTGGCTAATATGGGTTGCTTGGCCATTCAAAACATATTGCTTTCATCATAAAGATCATGGCCTTCAATACAAACTCATCTCTGCAATAAGAATGTCCAAATTGTATTCAGTACATCTAGGAAGAAATCATCACACATCACTTTATAAAGAGCCAAATCCCCAGTAAAATTTGGAGATCTTTCAAAGAGAAGATGATGATTAAGGTTTTAGGATGCATGTCATGGGAAGAAAGGCTGAGGAACAAGGCAGGCATAGCCCTTGACGAAGAAATGAATAAACTAGCTTTGCGAAAACACCATTTGGGGAGACAACTGTGCAGGAAGCAGTGGGGGTGGCTGGTTCTGCAAAAAAAAAAGTGACATTTGGAGGGGACAGAGAACCTTTATGGGAACAAACAGTTCCAGCAAATTAGTAGCTCTTCCATTTCACAGAGGTGTTCTTCATTATACTATGTACGTTCTACCAATTGGTTTCCATATCTCCAACCTTTCTTGCTGTTTCAAACATTACATTGTACTCTTGGATTACTGGGCGTCTGTTGCCAAATAACAGGTTAGTTATCTGGAATCAATATATGGAATCGGAATATGGACAGGTTGGTTAACATTCTGCATTGAGGGACAAAAATATGGAGATGTAAGGTGCATCAAGACTGTAGAATTCATTTGGTTCGATACCACTTTAACTGCCACAGCTCAATGCTATGGAATCATGGGAATTGTAGCTTTACAGCAGGTATGAGCAAACTTTGGCCCTCGAGGAGTTTTGGACTTCAACTCCCACAATTCCTAACAGCCGGTAGGCTGTTAGGAATTGTGGGAGTTGAAGTCCAAAACACCTCGAGGGCCAAAGTTTGCCCATGTCTGCTTTATAGGGTCCTTAGCCCAAGTTACTCACCAAACTGCAACTCCCAGGATTCCGCAGCATTGTGACATGGCAGTTAAAGTGGTGTCAAACTGCATTCATGCTACAGTGTAGGTGCACCCATTATGATGTCTCATCCTGCACTCTCTCACAGCCATTTCAGAGGCAGTGGAGCATTAAAGTGTGATATGTCCAGCCCTGTTTTTGTTGAAAGAGAGGCCAATGCAGGCCTAGCAAGAAGATGAAATTTAGTGCTTTGAGGTTTTTTTGCCACTGTTGATTCCCCAACACTATGTTGTGCTAAAGACTGCTGGTGTCCTGTAGATAACAGGGTGCTTAATTCCTTTTAAAAAATAGGTAGCAGGCTCCACCAACAAATTACAATATGTACAAACTTCATTTCTATCAGCAAACTTCATTTCCATAAGTGCACCCCTTCTTTCTGCTTGGAATATGTTCCTGAACTTACTATTGAAATAGAAACCCATGGATAACAGCGACCCTTACTGAAATGTAAAACTTCCACCAGAAGTTACCATAAAATCCCACTGGGGGACTTAGAAAATTTCTAGCTATATCCTCTCTAGGAATTTGCTAGATCCTTCAGTAACACTTTTATGGTAACCTCCAGTGTAAGCATGACATAAAATCAACTAGAGGACCTATAAAGTTCCTAGAGAAGACATCTTTTGTCAATGGACTAGTGAAACCACAGTTACTGGTTCTGTTACTATGAAGGTCGTACTGTACCTCCTTTACTAAATACCGTATAGCTATTATATTTTAAAATATGAAGATTTAAATATATAGGGAATATTTTTTAAAGAATCTAGTATTCGTCTTGAAAGACATTCTATAAAAAGTGATCAAAGTTTATTTTATTTTTTTAAAAACAAGCCTGACCTGCTATTTTTTATAAAAGACAGCCTTGTTCCATCAGTCTGAGAATTACTTTCCAGTAAGCCATACTCCAAATGCATTACTATTTGTAAAATTGAGCAATTTAGCAATTTTTTTTTTAAAAAATCTCCAAAATGATTGGAGTTTTACAGATAACTTAGGGAAATTGTGCATGTCGAAAATGGCTTGTGTCAGAGGGAAAAGGACATGCACGAAAAAGTTTTATACTGAGCCATATGGTTTTAGCTAGCCTGATATTGGGATGGCGTACACATGTCCTTCCAGCTGATGTTAGACTGCAACTCCCATCTGTCCTCCTTATTCATCTATCTGGCTCAGATTGATGAGAGTTGCAGTTGAATGACATCTAGAGGGACGCTTCTTCTCATTACAGGACTACTCATTGAGGCAACTGCTCTGAAAGGTCAGGCAAGTTCTCCTCCATCCTTTCTATCTCAGATCCCTTGAACTGGAAAGCTAGGGGTGAACCTTGTACCCTTTTAACATACAAATGGTGTTAGTGAGGGGAGTATACTTTGTATACTTGAATGGCTCTTGTTAAGATGTTATAGATTGATTCTCCCTTATCTTAATATTCCAAAGACTCCAAAACCTGAAAGGTTTTGTCCCCAATTACCCACTTTTGCCTTTGGGGATAGAGGGCT